TTCTTCCTCCTCTTCCTCAATTGTTTTTACCTTTGCAATTTCTTGATCCACCAAATCTGTTGTACTTGCTTTCACCATTTTGAAATGTTGAATTGTTGGAATTTTGAGAGTCTCTTCTACCATTTTGAGGTTCGCCTTGAACTTGAATCATCAATATTCAACATCGCATACTCACAAGGTGGTTACCAATTAAATTGATCATAAACAAACAAAACTCTTTTCTCAACAATTATCACTTAACATCATGCAATAAGTCGAAGAATCATAATCGATGCCAAAAAATTGGGTCAAAACGTTCAAATCCAGTCAACACATGGTTGATGGTTGACCCGTTACGACCATGAATGCCGTCTCCCTCTAGGTGTGCTAATCATCGTCGCTGATGGTTTGAAGGAATAGTGCCTGTCACGAGGCGCTGACGGTCTGGAAGGGTTTCTCGTCATGATCGATGATGCCTGTCAGCTAGGTGAGACACGCCTTCTTCTCTGATGCAATGATGGTCAGACTATCACTTAGGGTGACGCATGTCATCGCTGGCAGAACTTTTTTCTACATTTTCTCCACTAAAATAGACCTAGATCTCCAATTTTCTCCGATTCATGACATTTCAAAGTTTAGAATTCGATAACTACGATTAAACAACAATTTTCACATTAAAAAAAATGCAATTCCAATACATATAACATTAATCATTCATATTTTTTCATCAAATCATCACATACTCATATGAACATCAATAATCCAAATTCAACACATATTTACACAGAGATTCATCACTAACAGAGTAAAATCAGAATCACAAACACAACATATTCATAGAGGTTTTTCACAAACCTTACATGATTCAATATCAACAATCTAATAAGAAAATGGGGGCAAGGGAATCCTCATTATCCCTAAGCTTAAACACCTATAACAATCCACATCCCATTACCTCGATTATGCAGAAAAATATTGAGTTCTTGGTGATGGGAGATCCTACTTTGCACTTCTCTCTTCTAGGGTATGCCTTTTTTTCTCCTTTTTCTCAAACAGATACGTGTTCTCTAAACCCTTCTACTCTAAACCCTTCTAATCTTATATGTAAATATAAAACCCTAGTTCTATTTTATTTATTTTATTCTCGCTAATTCTCTAAATTCTTAATTAATTATATCCACTTCCGTTTATTTTATCAATTCACTCTATTTACCCATAATCTCTAATTAATTAAAAACCTACCATTTCTATTATTTCTAATATTTTTATATGTAAATAGATTCTTAATTTAAATTTTTATTATTCTAAAAATAACACATAATTAAGAAAATACATCAAAAATTAAATAAAATTCTAAATAAAATTTCGAGGTGTTAAAGATGCTACCATTGTTGGTTGAGAAAATTCATGGCAATCTGATCGGTTAACTAGAATGGTTACAATGGCGCAACTGAGGAGATTATAGAAGTTCGATGTGAATTTCATGAAAATCAAGAAATGATTCTCACCGAGCACTACTACAAAAAACACATTACATAACAATGTATTACTGTGGTTTATTAAACAACCAAAGTAATATTTGTTCATTAGGTGTCTTTCATTTTTTTTATTTGTAAATAGCATATAACCAAGATTCATATAAACAACTGTTGTGATATGTGAAGCAGTGACACACTTTGAATTCCCACACCTGCAATTTTATATTTTTTTCGTTAAAAAAATGGTGTTCCCTTATTTTCTATTTATAAATAAAATTAAACAATTTTCACTGCGGTCCATATTAAGAACCGTAGTTAAATATAATGATGTTTCACCATGATTATTTTCTATCAACTGTGGTGAAATATATCATCTAAAAAAGCCAACTAATATCAGTTCATAACAAATTGTTCTCAAAGGAAACCCTAATTTCTCTCGTCTTATCTCAGTCTCTCAAAACTCTAATATAACTTCTCTCACTATTATGAATCAAGGAAAGGTTTCACAAATTTTTTCAAGATGAGACAAGTAGCTAACTTCTTTGTCTTCATTCTCCACAAATCTTTTCAATGAAAGGTGTATTCATGAAATATCTACGAGTTGATGTTATTGCTGTTCAAAAATTTTGTCTTGTTTTTCTTGTTTAAAATATACGTGAAACTTAGGGTTTATTGTTTTCTTGTTGTTAAGATGAGATTGTAGTTTTAATATTATTGTTGTTGTTGATATTAATAAAGAGTTTAAGTTATTGTTGAGGTATGTTTTTGTTTTGTTAAGGTAGTTTGTTGTTTATGTTAAGATGTTTTTTTTATAAATGTTGTTGTATGTGCTATCGTAGATGTTTTTTTATAAATGTTGTTGTATGTATTATTGTAGATGTTTTTTTATTAGATTTGTTAAAGTTATTGTTGAGGTGTGTTATTGTTTTGTTAAGATAATTTACTTTTTATGTTAAGGTAAGTTGATTTTTTATAAATGTTGTTATTTGCGTTATTGTAGACGTTTTTTTTATTAAGTTTGTTAAAGTTATTGTTGAGACATGTTGTTAAGATGAGATTGTAGTTTTAATATTATTGTTGTTGTTGATATTAATAAAGAGTTTAAGTTATTGTTGAGGTATGTTTTTGTTTTGTTAAGGTAATTTGTTGTTTATGTTAAGATGTTTTTTTTATAAATGTTGTTGTATGTGCTATTGTAGATGTTTTTTTATAAATGTTGTTGTATGTATTATTGTAGATGTTTTTTTATTAGATTTGTTTAAGTTATTGTTGAGGTGCGTTATTGTTTTGTTAAGATAATTTACTTTTTATGTTAAGGTAAGTTGATTTTTTATAAATGTTGTTATTTGCGTTATTGTAGACGTTTTTTTTTTATTAAGTTTGTTAAAGTTATTGTTGAGACATGTTGTTTTGTTAAGGTAAGTTGTTGTTAATGTTACGGTACGTTGTTGTTTTTGTTGATAAATGTTGTTGTTTATGTTTTTGTAAATGTTCTTTATTAGATATGTTTATGTTTTTGTAAATGTTCTTTATTAGATATGTTGATATTTTTGTGAAGGTATGTTGTTGTTTTGTTAAGGTAAGTTGTTGTTTATGTTACAGTAAGTTGTTGTCTTTTTGTTGTAATATGAGATATTAAGTTATATTGGAAAACAACTTACATTTATCAATGTTTTACGAGTTTTTTGCAGCTCATTATTCATATTTTACTCTTTAACAATTAGAACTTGATTCAAGACTTCTAGTTCTTCTATTATCAGTTCCTTCACTACTAGTTCAATTTCTTCTAATATAACTTAATCTATCATATTATTGATTTCTAAATTAGATTGAAAGACTATATGTTTAGTGAGCCAAAATGTTGGTGCTGAGTATTGAACCTCTGACCTCAACCTTTTACTATAATTGTTTTTTACAACTGTAGTGATATGTTATGCACTATTGTGTTTTTACCACCGTTACCAACCTATGATGATAAGAGTTTCAGGTGGACGGAGAAGAGGATGTACTTGCAAAGTTAACACTTCAGCATTCAAATTAGTGAGATCAGAGATGAGTAACTTGCAATAGTGAATAAAATTGTACCATGGTGTGGTACATTATCGTGTTTATATACGAGTGGCAGTTAAAATTGGCCTGATGAACGCAACGTGAAATGCGGGAGGCCGCTTAATTGATTCCATCTGTTGCAATGAGTATGGTGTCAGATCCCAGTGTACGACCTCTTAGTAAGAATTTATCTGTTCGTCATCTTTAAACGAATAAAACTATGAATCATTTATCTGTTCGTCTTAGAATTTATATAGTCTTATTGAATCATTTGGTCAACCTAAAACAAATATCATAAACTTTTAACTAATCACAACTAACTTCTATAACAAATTTCTAGTTCACTTTAAACTTCTTTCCACTGCTTCACAACACTCACTTTATTAAAATGAAAAACCTCAACCTTAGATGATCATCATATATTGAATTTGGCTAACAGAACTCTACTAAAATTGAAATAAAGCAGAAAAGAGAATAAAAAACGTTTAACTATCATACCATAAAAGCATAAATACATGATTAAAATCTACGAATTTATGTTATGAGAATCATATATCCCATACAACTTTCATATGTGGCATTTTATCATACACATGGCAAGACATGTGATGAAAAAGACACAAATCAAAAGTTTGTTTTCGTCATCCCATTTTTAGCAAATAGATTCTACAAATGTTTAACAAACTCTAAAGACAACTACAACTTTTCCCAATATATTACAAAATGTTGACCAACTCTTACAAAACAAAGACAAAACAAAAAAAACATAATTTTACTTTGTTATTTGTACATCAAAATAATTCATTGATTATTTATCATAGGTAAACCCATAAAACTCATAATCCAAATCTATATTCAAAACACCAATATTTCCAACACTATGCTCATTCACCAAATGAAAGGGTTATATGAACCCTCTTTTGTTTCCTAGCTCTAAAAATTGATCATGTTGGCCTAAAGAAATATCATAGTTTTTAGTTTATTGTTTGAGAGTCCTCAAAGAACAACTTCTACATACAGATCAAAGAAAAAGAAATGATTTCTCATAAAAATTAGGAAATATAAACTTTATAAAGTATAATTCTACATTAGTTAACAAAACCGTTGGTTTGATAAAGTAACCGTTTTCCACAATCGAATGTGATGCAAATATGCAATTCATCACAATAATGCTATTTCTTAAATTAAAACTACTCCCCAAGTAAACAACACAAAATTGTATGAATTCGAAATTGTAACCGACATTTTAGAAGGTACGTCTCAATTATTTAAAATACTACAATGCCAAACATAATGTCATTATTGGAGGTTTTATAATTTAATAAACTATAGGATAACTTTATTCACTTTTATGGGATGCAACTTAAAAATTTAAAAAAAAAAAAAAAAAAAACTTTAGGCAAATTGGTCTTTTAATTATGTACACACAAAAGAAGTTCATTGCACTGTTGTCCATCTCAAACTTCTGCCAACCAAACCAACACTATAATGCCTCTACACCTTCCTCTTATATGCCAGAATCTGAATCACCACAAAAACAAAGAAAAAAGAGTTTAGCATTTACTTAAATAACACCGACACTGAAACTTATGATCAAAGTCATTCGTTAGCAAAGATATGTCTAACGAATGACACTGACACATAAATATTTAATTAATTTATAGTGTTAGTATTGAGTATTGTGTTTCCGTGTCTGTGTCGGTGTTTCATTAAAAAGACAACTTAATACTCACCAAATGCCCCCTTTTAGATATAGATTTGGATCTAATCTCTGCCACAGTTTCATGAGCTTGCAGAAGTTCCAATTCATCTTTTAGTGGATCTATAACCAGCGATGTTAGCTCATCACATTCCGCAACTGATTTCTCATCAGCTGACTTGTCGTGGTTTATACTGCTGCATCCTTTAACCGCCAGTATCTCAACTTCTTCAACTGTCAAAGGTGTCTGACTAGCAACATACTATGAAAAAAATACAAAAATGTTAGACAATCTTCAAAAGAAAACAACATTGTTTCGTTAACAATGCATACTATGCAATCATTTTCATCCGATAGGCAGAGTTAAACAAAGCATTATCGATTCCTACTCGTAAAAAAAAATACTATTACTGCCAAAAAATAGCAATCGAAAAAAAATTATCTCACTTCATAAAGGTTCTTGACAGACAAAGTTGGTCGACAACATAGGTGAAGCTGCTCCAAACTTGGTGTAGGAGCTTCTTTGTCCGGAGAAACAAACATGAGATGAACATCAAACTGTAAATAAAAATATTACGTATATTTGTTAAATTGAATTGAAATATGAATACAAGTTTGATAATAATGAAGTAATAAGTAACAACATTTTTTGTCAGTTCATTACATGGAGAAAAAAGAAGAAGAATAACGTATACCTCATCGGTGTTTTCATTCAAGCTTTTGAGATAATCAACCAATCTAGACATTCGACCGCTGCGAGAATTTTTGCTGTTGCTACCACCACCACTGCCATGTCTTGTGTTACTTCTAAAACCACCTCTTCCCCAAGTAAGCTTCCTAGGCTTTGACACCTGCCTTGAAATTCCTCGATTTTCTCTACTTATATCCATATCACTTTCCACACTTCCACCATCGGGACTTGCCATTGATGACGAGGGCTGAGAGGAGCGAACTCTGGTCCATCTCTTTCGTTTTCTCTGCCGGAGTTCTGTGCCCCGTTCGTCACCGGAAGATGAGTCCTTTTCATTATTGCCATTTTCCTCCTCGTTTTCTTCAGATCCTTGAATATCAGCAGCTTGGTTTTGTCTCCTGGATTGAAGGTTTCTTTGATTACGCTGTGATCTTGTCACAAATGAACTCGGTGTATTATCTTTACGTCTTTTGGTTAGTGCTTCAGATTGCCGCTGAAATACTTTTGCTATTGAAGCTTGAATCTGCCAGAAAAAAATGTAAACTTCAAGACTTAATAATGAACAAGCGTTAAATAAATATTTATTTTATGAAACATGTATTTTGTCGGTAATCAGTATGCTACAGAAGCCATGCATAAATATATTTGCTCAATAAACATTGACCTGCTTATTTCGGTTCTTTTCTTCTTCACGAAACTCAAGCTCCTGCAATGGAACAGAATGGCATCACAAAAGTTGAATTTTACGAAAGGTGCACGTAAACAGGCCGTGTATATATTAGTACAAAGCAGTGAACATGTAAACTTATACCTCTTCCTCATACTTCTCAATATTTGGATATAAAGTAGCAATAAGGGCATCATAGTTTGGATCATCTCGCAGAGAGCGACGGCTGGCACAGTGTGTGCGGCAAGCAGGGCATTCATTGTTCCTGAGATGATATATATACCAACATTATATCGTTTTTCTAATAAGCATAGTAGAGACAAGAACATAAATAACGTGGAATCATTCATGTGATGTGACGTACCCCAGTCGCATTGATTTGTCAATGCATTCCCTGCAAAAGCGGTGCAAGCATTCCATGACAGTTCTTGTTTTCTTAATAATACCTGTTCAAACACAAAAAAATGCCTGGTCAGTCTTCCAGAAATCAGCATTCAGGAAATGTTTATCATGATTCAAGCATAAATTAAGCTGCAGGTTTGGAAAAAAACTTACCAAGGCAAATTGGACATTGGACATCTTTACGAATATCCGAAAGTTCTACGTACACATATCTGCAAGCAAAACAAGTAAAGAAGCATATATGATATATTTATATAAATTGGAAACAAGTGACATCCTTTCAAGACTGTTAACAATTATGATTCATGAGTTAGGACTTGCATACAATGCATCTTTGTTAGAAGTATTAAGTGATTAATGAATGCAAACTATGAAGTTCAATGAAGTTAAGTGATTAATGGATGCAAACTATGAAGTCCAATGAACTTAGCTATGATGATTTCTACAGGAAAAAGAAAAGATAAATTACAATCACATATACATCCAACAACCTCGAAACCTCGAAACCTCAGAAATGTGGAACTCCAGTATAACTTCAATGCATATCAACACGAAAACGGACACAAACATTTTTAAACGAAGTTCGACAGAAAACACATAAAAAGGTAATTGGTTAGCAAGTTATGAAACTTGAAGGAACTAGTTGGGGGAAAAACTTAAAGGACTAATATGGTGAAAATAAATAACATCAAGGAAAGATGGAGCAATTTTGCCTAAAAATATAAACCAAAGCAACATGATATTCTGAATTATCAATTCCTATTACATCATGTAAACAAGTACTCCCTCTGATCCTATTTTTAAGAAAAAGTTTACTTTTTAGATACATTGAATAACTAATGTTCATGGACAATATATAGACCAGATATATCGGTTACTCAATGAATCTAAAAAGTAAAAATTTTCTTATAAATCAGACCCGAGAGAGTATATGTTTTTCCAACACAGTCAGCATTAGTGTAACATGTAGATTTTGCCAACAAGGTAACAAACTTCCCCAGACATGCAAAATTTTCATAATCAACTTGCACTGTTAAACAGCATGTTTATAATCAAGAACTGCTTTCAAGGACAATGTTCATAAGAAGAAGAGAAGCTAATATTTAAATTAGTTCTTCATTTAAAACTTAAGCATGAGACTCAAGAACTCATCAACATTATGATAAAGCATCAAACTATCATGAATTTCACTGTTTTAGAAGACAACCACAGTGTATCAAAAGGCACCTAAAGGCCTGTCTAAAGTACTGAGACAATGCAACAGAAGTGGTAAGCATGCAGATTAAGATGCATGCCTAAGACATGCCTTTCAGGTTGAGGCATGCCTATCCGGCTTTATTGATAACTATGATGAAAAACAGAAAAGGGCATCGATGTAAATTCATGATTACATGCAGAAGAGGTAGAATAGTCTGAATGTTAAGAAAATAACTTGGCAGTTTCTTCATTTTCTGATGTAAAAGCCTTTCTTCAGCGAAACATGCGCATTTTGGCCCCTAAAGCCACCATGCGCAGGAATTCATTTGACTCAAGGCTCTAAAAACATGATATGATATTCAAAAGTTGAACAATGCAACCATGCCAAATGGTATATGATAACCCATCAAAAAAACTGGTTTTAACCTTTTTCCATACAAATCAACACAACTAGTTAACATGGTTACTCTCAGAACATTCTGATAAACACAACTTGAACTCTACTTAACCAAACAAGTCCCAAGATTAGTAAAGTTCAACAGTTGCAACTCTAGCATGACACACTCTAAATAATGAATTCATCCATCTCTCGAGAAATGAAATCACAGATGTTGATCAATGCTTAATCCAAAGCTATCAAAAGTAACAGACTAAGTCAAGAACAATTATAATCAAAACATGCAAACAACAATGATGAATCAAATAGCACGCGATTCAGAAAATACAGACATCACAACTCAAATGACATTGTCATCTATCATCAATTCAACTATGCAAACACACGAATAGCAAAATTCACACCCGACATCAACCTCAAAATAAACACACAACAACAAAACATGAATCTAGTAAAACAAAGTACGAAGCAGAAGTTAAGAAGCAATGCATATGAACGAGTAAGAGAAAGAGAAAGTACTCAGGTTTTTCTTCAGAGTCAGAAGACGGGGTTCCATCGGAATCTGAAACAGAAAAAGATGAAAACTTTAGAGCACGAAGAAACGCAAAACCAAAACAAACTTCAACCCAGTTCACAAAAACCAATTGGGTCAAAGAAAAACCATGTGATACAAAATCTAAACGAGAAAAATCTCTAAAAATAAGCTGAAAAATTACCCTGTGATTTTTCCTTATCGTCGTTATGGTGCTGCCCTTCTTCATCTTCATCTTCATCATCATCCTCAGCCTCTTCTTCATCTTCATCTTCTTCTCCTTGCTCCTCCTCCTCCTCATCGTGCTCTTCCTGATCATCATCGTCTTCTTCATCTTCCTCTTGTTCGAGTTGATGCTGTTGGTCGATGAAGTTTGGGTCGCGGTTGTTCGGTTGATGCTTGACATGGCGAGAATAGTGAAGATGCTGTGAAGTTTCTTCTTCGTCCATTGACTCGGGTAAGGAACGCTTCTGGGCTGGCATTGCTGCTCGCAGAGAGAGATTGTTGGCTCTGTCGCGAGTTGAAGAAGAAGAAAAAGAGAAAGAAAGAAGAATAATGAGATTGAGATTTCGGTATAGGTCTATTTATTCTAAGAAAAATTGTTTTTTTGTTATTTTATTATATTAGTTCGGGTGGATATGAACTCGGATATGGATCTTGGATTTGAATCGGATGATTTTGACATAGTTATTGAGACTCGATTAAACGATGTCGTTTTAGTTTCGCTATATACATTGGTGACAAATGGTGAAAAATACAAATGATAAGCCGACATAATTAGAGATCTTTGGTTCAAATTCAATTTAAAAATATAATCGTGTAAAATCTTTTAAACTTGAAAATGAATTTTATAGTTTGTTCTTTGTCCCGAAAGATAAACCTAAAGATACACGTCTAGATAATTATGTATATTGATATTTATTATATAGTAACTAAAATAGTAAGTAAATGTTATTTTTTAAAGGTTTACAAAGTAAATTTTTAGTCATTAGAATACATGATTTAAACATTAATGTGGTTAAAATCGAGTTAAATAGAATCTTATAAGCAATTTTTCAATATTAAAATGTAGTTAAATATAGTTTATATTTGTTTTAAAAAAGTTGAACTCATAATTAATTTACATAGGGGTTTGATGGTATTTTGATTGTTTTTCGTGAGTAGTTTATCTTCAATTTCTAATAAGTTTGATCTTTATTAAGCACATTTTACTTTTGTATGTTTATTTTCTTTTCATTTCAAGTGTTCTAGATACAAATGGGACAAGTTGGAGCGAAATTCGGGAAAAAACGCATGAAGAGTTCATAAAAGGAAACTTCCATAAGCAAAACCAAAGCCCATTATTGTTTGACTATAGCCCTTCTACGGTCGTAATGGCCCCAAACCTTTTCCTTTTTTAAAATAGCACGTGGTACTAAAACTAGGGAGCAGTACGACCTTACCGTAGTGGGTGTTATGGCCGTAGTAAGTCCAGATCCGTGTAGGATTTCATTTTTTTAGTTTTTTTTTTTGCCTTTCATTTTTCAATTGTTTCTTTTCACCTTTGTGGCCTATTTACACAAATTTATCATCATAATTATAGACTTAGGCCAATATAAAGGCTTTAACATTGAGCTATGAACATCAAGTTTTTTATATACGATAGTCCTCTTAAACAAAGTTTATTTTCTCTGCATTTTATTTCCTGCAAAGCTTGTTTTCTTGTTATCGTTAGAAGTCTCTATGGAGTAGTTTGTAACAAATATTTCACGGTAATACAGGTAATTTCTCTTTTGTTTCTTTTATATTATTTTGTAATGTTTATGCTTTCATCCATTACCATGTATGTTTTTATTTTTACCTTGCTTGAAGAGAATCCATTAAGATTTAGGATTATGGGGTTTATCTCATGAAAGACCTCGTGTAAATTCTCCACAATTTCATTACGAGAAAATTTATAAAGATTGTTTTGGATTTCTGTTTTAAACACATATATTTACGAAAGTAGAGATGTCTTTAGATACCAATCACATACTTAAAGAGTGTGAATTGGTATCTGAACTAGAAAAATCAGACATTTGAGTTTGCAACTATGAAAGTGTCTCAAACTCAATTAAGAAAGTCTCATCTTCAATAGATGCACTTAAAATTGATCCTGAACGAATGTGTTAGAGAGTATTTGTCAGAACCACTTCCAGCCGATAAGTTAGAGTGTGCCTGATTGGTGGCACCAACCTTAAGAATGACAAAGCTCAAGTGTGTGATATTTTGCTGGATAAAAATCTCAGTATTCAAAACACATGCTTTGAACTTCTCACGTCACATAATTCTAAAGCTAAAAAAGCATGTGACAAAGCATGTGTTTTGAATACTGGGATTTTTATATGAGTTTTTTTAAGCATGCTTCCTCAAAATCTCATATATGAGTTTTTATATGAAAAAAATAAATTATCTGGTCATTATAAATGACAACTTAGGGAAAGGTGAGACTGGAAAATTTCTAGTTATCTTAAAATGATACCAAAAATCTATAGGGTACAGCATTGAGGACTTGAAAGGGATAAGCTCATATACTTTTATGCACAAGATCCTGCTAAAAGAGGACTATAAGCCCTCTAGAGAGCATCATAGGAGATTAAACTAAAATATGAGAAAGGTATTTATAGATGATTTCTCAGTTTACGGATCGAGTTTCAAAAGATATCTAGCAAACATGGAAGAAGTGCTTGAGAGGTACATTAAAGTTAACTTAGGTTTACACTAGGAGAAATTACATTTTGTGGTCAAGGAGGGCATGGTGCTTAGGAATTTAGTGTCCAGTAGAGGGATAGAGGTAAACAAGGCCAAAATTGAGCTTATAGAAAAATTGAAACCTCTTACCTCTATTAGAGAAGTTAGAAGCTTCCTAGGCCATGTAGGTTTTTATTGTCGATTCATCTGACATTTCTCCAAATTCTCAAAACCTGTAACATATCTCGTTATGAAAGATGTTGAATTTAACTTTGATGAGCATTTACTATAATCCTTCTAAAAACTAAAAGAAACATTGATCTATGCGTCGATAATTCAACCTCCAAATTGGAGTATCTCGTTTGAGAACATGTGTGATTTTAATAACTACGTTGTGGGCACTATTTTGGGCAAAAAGGAGGATAAAAATATGCATGTTATTTACTATACAAGGAGAACCTTTGATGAGGCCCAAATCAATTATGCGAAAATGAAAAAAGGAACTTTTAATTGTGGTGTTCACAATTGGCAAAAAAATTTCTTACTTAGTTGGTTAAAAATAATCATTTATATCAATCATGCAGCTAGTAAATATTTTTCTAGGTAAAAAGGATGTTAAGCCCAGATTGATTTGTTGGATTTTGTTTCTTCAGGAGTTCAATTTAGAAAGTAGGCAAAAGAAGGGGAATGAGAATATGGTTGAGGATCACTTGTCTAGATTAACTAACATAAGAAAAGAAAAGTTACATCTAGACGACTCTTTTGCCTATGATAATTTGTTTGTGCTAATACAAAGCAAAGTACCATGGTATGATGACTTTGTTAAATATCTTAATGCTGGGGTCCTACCTCCGAATATGAAATATAACAACAACAAAAAAATTCTTTTATGATTTAAGGAACTATTACCAGGATGAGCCTCTTCTTTTTAAGAGAGATGCCGATATGATTTTTCAAAGATGTGTCCCTGCAGAAGAAATGGAAAGTGTCATGACCCAATTTTATGCTTCCGATTATGTCAGGCATGCCAATGCATCTAAAACCACTTCTAAAATACTCCATGCTAGTTTGTATTGTAACACCTATTCAAGAATGTGCACTCATTTATCAAAAAATGTGACTAGTGTCAACGCACTGGCAATATTTTAAAAGAAATGATATGCCTTTAAACAACATCCTAGAAGTAGAAAATTTTAATGTCTGGGGATTGACTTCATGGGGCCATTCCCTTCTTCCTTAGGAAACTAGTACATACTCATAGTAGTCGAATACATTTTGAAGTGGATTAAGGAAGTTGTCACTCTTACAAACGATGCTCAAGTGAGGATTAAGTTGATCAAGAAAATTATTTTCTCAAGATTTGGTGTACCTAGGTTGGTGATAAGCTATGGAATATCTCATGTAAAACACATATTAGCAACCCTTTACTATTCACAAACTAGTGTCCAAGTAAAAGTCTCCAATAGAGAGATAAAAGTCATTTTGGAAAAGTCAGTATCCTTTTTTCTAGGAAAGATTGAGTCATAGATGATTCACTTTGGGAATAATGAATGACATATAAAACGCCAATTTGGATTACCCCTTTTAGGCTTATATATTGGAAATCATGTCACCTTTCGATGGAACCAGATCATAAGAAAATTGGGAAATAAAGGCCCTTAATTTAGATTTAAAAGTTGTCGCTGAGAAGAGAAATTTGCAATTTATTGAATTAGATGAATTGAGACTTGATGTATATGAGAACTATAAGCTATATAAGAAGAAAATAAAGAGATGGAATGACAAATGAATTTCAAAAATAAACTTTATAGAAGAGAGCTTGTCTTGCTATTTAGCTCTAAGTTGAAGTTTTTTCTGAGAGAACTCCATTAACAATGGTCTGGGCCTTTCCAAGGAAGAAAGGTAACATTGTATGGAGTCATTATTGTGTGGAATGAGTCTATTAGTTTGTTTATATCAAAAATATAAAGGCTCAAGCATCATGTAATCAGAGAAGATATTGAGAATGGGGAATTCTTCACTTTGAAAGACACACCTTTAAGAGCTGCACAGATTAAGTCAAGCTAATGACTTTAAACAAACAATGCATGAGAGGTAACCCATAAATTTTAAATAATAATGTCTTTTTCTTTCCATGTGTTTTAAGTTTTTGTAGATAAATAAAAGAAGCTCACATGATTTAAGGAAGATAATGGTTTGGAGAGTTAAAATGAAGTCTAGAGGAAGAAAATATGTCAAAGAAAAGGAAAATGATGGAAATGTGAAAAAGACCCTAGAAACCAAAAATTGAACCAAAAAAATCCAAAAACATTGGGCTCGTTATGGCTTGCTCGTAGTGTGAATTACGGAACGTAATGAGCTCTTTCAGCTTTGCCACACAAAAAATTAGGGGGGGGGGGGGTACTATAGTCTGCACATAGTATGTATTACGAACCATAGTACTCTCATTACCCCCTCCATATAAGATTCTAGCAAGTATTACGAGTTAAGCATAACACTTGCTACGACTTGTAATACCCCTAACACCTTTTCCCTATCATTTTTTTCTATCTTTGAGTGGTGGACCCCAAACCAATTCCCACCACTAAAAATTCAAAATCGGCCCACTATAACTCCTAAGCTTCATTTTTTTTACTCATTTCAAATTTCCTCTCTCTCTAAACTCAAACACTCTTTCATCTTCTTCAACCACTCTTTAAAACACTAATACCTTCATAGTCATTTCACCTTCAATAAAACATTAATAAATTCACTACCCACACCACACAAATCA